CTCTTAATAGGTATAGAAGGAATTTATCTCAGCACAATAAAGACTATGTGTGAAAAGTCTATAGCAGACACAATCATCTAAGGGGAAAACTGAAAACTTTTCCTGTAAGATCTGGAACAAGACCAGGATATCCACTCTCATCTCTTCTATTCAACACAGTACTAGAAGTTCCAGTCAGAGTAAATTTCTCCAGGCAAGAAAAAATTTTAAAAGCATCCATATTGTAAAGGAAGTCGGCTTGCAGATGCATGCTCCTATATGTAGAAAACCCTAAAAACTCCATAAAATAACTGTTAGAACTAATAAATAAATTCAGTGAAGTTCAGGATACAAAGTCGACATACAAAAATCAGTAGCATTTCTACACATCAACAATGTACTATCTGAAAAAGAAAACAATAAAGCAATTCCATTTATGACAGCATCAAAGAGAACAAAATACTTAGGAATAAATTTAACCAAGGAGGTAAAAGACCTGTACAGTGAAAACTATAAAACACTGATGAAATAAATCAGCACCTGGGTATGGTAGCTCACATTTGTAATCCCAACAACTCAGGAGGCTGAGGCAGGAGGATCACTAGAGGCCAGGAGTTCAAGACCAGCCTGGACAACATATTGAGATGCCAACTCTAAAAAAAATTAAGGGGGCGGGGGGTGAGGGGAAACGTAGCCAGACATGATGATGCACTCCTGTATTCCCAGTTGGAGTATGAGGTGGGAGGACTGCTTGCGTCTGAGAGTTCAAGGTGGCAGTGAACTATGCTCATGTCACTGCACTTCAGCCTGAGTGACAGAGGGAGATCGTGATCCAGAGAGAGAGAGAGAGAGAGACAGGCAGAGAGAGAGAGAGAGAGAAAGAAGAAACTGAAAACGCCACAAATAAATGTAAAGATATCCCATGTTCATGGACTGAAAGAATTAATATTGTTAAAACAACCATACTATCAAAAGCCATCTACAGATTCACTGCAACCACTATAAAAATTTCAATGATATTGTTGTTCAGAAATAGAACAACAATTCTAAGATCCCACATGGGACCACAAAAGATACCAAACAGCCAAATCAATCTCGAGAAAGAACAAAGTTGAAAATATAAAACCCTGATTTCAAATTATCCTACAAAACTACAGTAATCAAAACAGTATAATTCTTGCATCAAAAACAAAAAAAAACAAAAAACCACATTAACCAATGGAACAGAATAGAAAGCCCAGAACAAAAAAGAAAACTTCACAAATGCTAAGTCAACTAATCTTTGACAAAGGCATCAAGAATATGCAATGGGGAAAAGGTCATCTCTAACAGATGTTGCTAGGAAAACTGGACAGTCACATGCAGAAGAGTGAAACTGGACCTTTGTTACACACTGTACACAAAAATCAACTCATAATAAAGACTTACACTAAAATTAATGAATTTAGTTTAATTAATTAAGATTGGGAACCACAAAACTCTTAGAAGAAAACATAGGGAACTCCTTGACACAGGTCTTGGCAATAATTTTTTAGAAATCACACCAAAAGCACAGGGAACAAAAGCAAAAATAAGCAAGAGGACTACGCCAAACTAGAAAGGTTCCGTACAGCAAACAATCAACAAAACGAAAAGGCACCTTACAGATTGCAAGAAAATATTTGTAAACCAAATATCTGATGAGGGGCTAATGGCCAAAATATAAAAACAACTCAAAAACTCAATAGCATAAGTAAATAAATATAAATAAATAAATAGCCCGATTAGAAAGTAGGCCACAGTCTTATACATTTTCCAAAGAAGATATGCGAAAGCCTGACAGGTCTATGAGAAGGCGCTCGACATCACTGGCAAATCGACACCACTGTGAGATGCCACCTCATACCTGACAGAGGGCTGCTGTCAAACAGACAAGAGGCCAGTGCTGGCGAGGCTGTGGAGAGAGGGAGCCCTTGCACACTGTCAGGGGAAAGCTAATTGGTGCAGCCAATACAGGAAACAGTGCAGGGTTCCTCGAAAAGATCAGAAATAGAGTGACAAGATGACCCAGCCACCCCTCCCGGCTGGGCGCTTCTTGGGGCTGCCTGCACCCCATTTGGCTGCACCTCTCGTCACAACAGCTCAAATAAGGAACCGGCCTAAGTGTCTACTGATGGACGAAAGGCAAAACGACTCGTGACGCGCACACGCTTCGCAAGCAGAATACTCTCCACCTCAACGGAGAAGGAGATCCTGTCTCTCGCGACGACGTGGAAGGACCTGGAGGACATTATGCTGAGGGAGTGAGCCAGACACAGAAAGACTGATACTGCCTGATCACACGTTCGTGTGGATTTGGGAAAAGGAGACATTAAGAGAAGCAGAGAGTGAGGTGGTGGCCAGGAGCCGGATGGCGGGGGACAGCGAGACGGTGACCCAAGGGACTAGGTAATAACACTGTATCACGTGTTTGGGATTTGCTACAAAAGTACTTTATTGTCCACACACACACACACACACACACTCTCTCTCTCTCTCTCTCTCTCTCTCTCTCTCTCTCTCTCTCTTTCTCTCTCTCTCTCTGGGAAGAGGTGGATGTTTTGTTAGCGTGAGGGTGAGGATTCGTTCACTGTGAACATTTACATCCAAACATCACACTGTACACCTTAAATATATACAATCTTGATCTTAAGAAAAATCTTTTTTTTTTTGAGTTGGAGTCTCACTCGGGCGCCCAGACTGGAGTGCAGTGGCCGCTCCCAGCGACTGCAGCCTCGACTGCTGGGCTCCGGCGATCCTTCCGCCTCAGCCTTCCCAGTAGCTGGAACTACAGGTATGCACTACCACGCCCAGCTGATTTTTGATTTATTGTAGAGATGAGGTCTCACCAAGTTGCCCAGGCGGGTCAGGAAAATCTTTTTAAAGACATGACGTGTCCCTGGAGGATCTGCCCCATCTTCTTCCCAGTCACTGGGCTCACAACCAGGGTGACATCCACCATGGCTGGGGGAAGGGCCATACCCCCTAGGGAGCTGTAGGTGTAGCCGGCAGGGCCCAGCAGAAGCCAGGGAAGCATGTGTGGCCCCAGATGCAGAGAGCCTGGGTCACAGGCCAGGTGAGGGAGAACATGCAGGTGGGGCACACTGACGGACAAGCTCAGCTTGAACCCAAGCTTATGGCACACGTGCTAACAGGATGGCCCTGCTGAGAGAGGGGAATGGCAGCACTGCCATGGATGGCAGAGGAGGATCAGGACTCTGGAGAATGGGGTCCCCCCACCCACAGCTTGCAGAGCACAGGTGCCTGCCAATCACAGGAGTTCCACAGCAGCACCAGAAGCCCGTGGGTACCCCTTTAGTGCACTAGGACTGTCTGGGCAGTGGGAGGAAGAATATCACTGCTGGCAACAGGAAGATGGATTCCAAAGAGAGAGGCCTTTGGCAATGCAGAACCATCACGATCCAGGTGGCTGCAGTGATGGTCATGAACTGCATGGCTGGAAGGCAGAAAGGAGGACAGAGCCCAGCTTCCGTAGGGACACACAGACATGGAGCCAACAAGGACACTGGTCACCCCATCCCATAAGAAGAAACCAAGAACAGATGTCAGATGCTGAGGGCAGTTGTCCAATGGGAATTCAGTTTTGAGGAATCCCAGTTACACCTGGTGGCATGAAAGTTATTTGAAACTAAAGACACTGCTGTCCAGCAGGTGCCAAAGCAGCTTTTTCATCGCTTCCCTGATCTGACCAGAGGCAAAAACCTCTGTAAAGTCCCAAAATCCCCTCTGAGGGGGAGTCTTCCTGTCAGAAGGCAGCCAAAGGGGCCCTGCACTCACAGACAACATCACATCTACTACCCATTCTCTTCCCATGAGCTCCTACCCTTCTCAAGAAGCCCACTAATACTGCTGAAGGTCTCTTTGCCTCTGCCACGTCCAGTGAAGCAGGTTTGGCCTCTCCCATCACTGCGCAGGCCACATCTGCCGTGCCCTCCATGCATAGGTGAATAGCCTTTCTCCCGCGAGTCCGTCTGTCTTGTCAGTTTTTCGTCCCAATCCCACGTCAGCACAGGCCAATGACTTTCCAATCCCTCCCAGGGGGACCACCGGCCACTCTCCCAGGTGAGCGTATTCTGGGGACCAATCAGGTCGTCCCATTACCCCATCTTGCCGCTCACGAAGGAGGAGATAGCGGTGGTAAGACCTTTCTGGACTCAGGAGTAGCACTGTGTGCACGACCAGATACTGCTCTGGCCTAAATGGCACGTAAAGCTTTGACAGGGGTCCAGGGGAGCAAAGGGCTCTGCCACAGATCCTGGCTGCCCCAGGATGCACCGTCCAGCCCTCACAGCATCACGATATCAGTGGAAACAGCAGGTCGTCACATGGAGACAAGTTACTTACCTGCTATATACACCACAAGTGTTTCCTGCCTTCTATAGCTAATCGTTGTTTTAAACTGTTTTTATACTCTTTCAGTGAAAAGAAGGTCTTAATTTTAATGTGGCTGCCTTTTCTATCTTCCTTTGTGGCTGATATTTGCATAATCTTTATAAGAAATCCTTTCTAACCCACGGTCATGAAAACATTCTCCTACATTGTCTCCGTAATGTTTTCTGGAGGAGCAAGGTTGGTAGACTATTTTACTCTGTGGCAAACAGATTTTTTTCCTGCCTTGTTTTGGGGGAAAGTAAGAATTGTGGACAATAGCTGGCATGGAGCAGAGTAGAGCTCACTTCCTAACAAGGAAGTTCCTCAGGACCACCAGGAGCCTTTCTCCAAGTCACTCAAGCCCACTCCCTGGACTCTGCCTCCCCAGGACCGGGTAGCTGAAGCAGCACTGCTCGAAGAGCTCTTCTAGAACTCTGACGTGGATGGCAGATGAAAGCACAGGCAAGAGACTGAGGCGTGGCACAGGCCGCTGTATTTCTAGAAGAAACTATTAAACATAAAAGTCATCATGTACAGAGGACCATGACAAGTGGTGTCAACACTACATCTAACCAGGAGACGCTTATGGCCCAGGAGGGCTGATCACTTACCGTCCTTCAGCTCCTGGACATCTCTGGGCTGGACAAAGTCGGGCTTGACATTCTCAAACCACCAGAAGAGCTCGGCAATAAAAACCATGACATTTGGCTGAAAGAAAAAACAAAATGAAAAGCAAGGGCATGCTATGAAGTCCACTCACCATGGCTTTCAAGTTGTGTGCCTAGGGCTCGCTATTACCTTCAGCACCAGGGGAGCATACAGCATGTCTTCCAGGGTGAGGTAAAAGCACTTATTCAGATACTCGTTGGAGAATTCTCTCAGTAGCCGGATGTTGTATAGACTGTCAGCCATCGAGGTAGTCTCCTTCAAGCAGATATCTACAGGCAAGGAGGAAATGACAATTCAGCACCTGTTCATAAGAGGCTTCATAAGAGGGCAGCATGTGTGCATGTGTGTGTACATAATTCTGAACAGGAAAACATTTTACATAAAGGTGGCAGTAATACTTAAGGCAACAGCATCACGAGGCTTAAAGATCACTGAAGAAATCTCTAGAATTTGATAGTGAACACCCATAAAGCATAATAGAAGCTAGATTTTAAGACTGGCTTCCAACATGAACACTAACAATCACTTCCGTTCATGAAAGAGCCTGGCTGCAGGAGCTGGAAACTGCTTAGCCAAGTTCCACTGGCCGATCAGAAGCTCTCTTCGTGAGGTGATTTCCACATGTGCACAGAGCTAGGGGAAGGAAAAGCATTCCCTTTTAAACACCAGGCCTCTGCAAGTCCATGCTGCAATAGCATAGGAATGTCACTCATCACAAAATCAACTGACTACGCCAGCCCCAGTCTCCATCTGTGGAGGTGGGGCTGCTGACTACTAGCAGCTAGGGAGGACGATTTCCCACTGGACACTGCCTCATGGCTCACGGATGTCAGAGGCTCCGTGAGCAAATGTCACACAGAAGACAGGGCACAGACAGCGCTGCCCCAACCCCCATGCTCTAGAACGGGTGGGGGTGCCCTCACAAGCCCATGAGAACTGCAGGATACGCTCCAGACTAAATCAGAAGCAACCCACATGTTGTGTGCCTGTAAATATATATACAACACAACAAAGGGATTTGAAAAATAACATATCTTCAAATAAATTTTGTTTCGAAGGAGAGAAACCATTTTCAGGGGTTTAAATGTGTACAAGACTAGAACCGCTGTATCCAGATTCCTGATAGGTCCTATCCTGCATGGTCCCCCTAGCAGAGTAAATTCTCAAGAGAAACCTGGTCCAAGCTGAGTACCTGTACAAATTTCTATTGCCAGAAAACGTTTCCTTTCTTAAAATTCTGATGATGGAACATTAACATCATCTTATGTGTTTCAGATCTTTCCTTTTAGAAGCAAAACACCACCAATACTGTCAAAGCCCCTTCTTCCCCAAGGCAGCCCGGCCCACCCAATAAGGGTTTTATTCCACTGGTCTGTGTTCTGTATCCGTCAGAGATGCATCCACAGGCAGCTGTTTCTGGACTTTGTTAAGCTTGCACAAATGATATCAGAATATGCCTCATCACTTCTGCAGCCCGTTCTCCCCAAACTCCATATTATGCTTCCAGACAGGTCTATGCTGATGTGGACAGGTTTCAGTCATTCTTTTAACAGTCGTGTGACACTCCACCATTTTTCACTTTATAAATAAGGCTGCAAGAACCAGGCTCTGCACGTGGCACAGACAGGGGTACTGACCAATACAGCCCAAAAGAGGACTTGAGAGGTCGTGCGGCGGCCCCCGTTTCACACCTCCCAATGCCGTTCCCAAGGCCACCCGGTCACGGTTCCACCAGCAGAATCCTTGGCCTGTCCCTTTCCTACCTTGTTTGGCACCAGCTCCTCAATCCTGCCAGCTCAGCAGTAGGAACAGCACAGTCCCCCACTCACTGGCATTGGTGTCCTCTTCATGTTTCTTGGCTAGTAAGACCCCCCCCACCGGAAACCCTGTTCTCACTCTCCTCTGGCTGTGTCCTTTTCTTACTGATTTATGGGACTTCTTTCTGTATTATGGTTAAAAAAGGACTGCAGGACGACTCTGCCAGCTTAAATTTCTTGCAAAGATTTTTTTTCGTGGATACAGTTTATCATTTTGTTGATGATGTTCTTTTGTCACAGAGAAGTTTTATATTTTAATGTGGTTGGATGCAACAATCTTTCCTAAGATTTGTGCTTTATTATAAAGCGAGTAATCCATCCCTACACCAACATGATAGGAACATTTTCCTACGTTTTCTTCTCAAGTTCTTAAATGCTGCCTCTCAGGTCTACCACTTTAGCCCAAGAAAGGGCGTTTCTGGCTCATGGGGCGGGCGGGCAGGGGTTCTTATATTTCCCCCACAAAGATGCCACCATGTCCTGACTAGCCCATTGTCCCTCTCCTGCTGGGCTGTGAGGCTACCTCAAAGGTACCAGCTCATGCAAAATATCTTCTTCTTGGTTCTTGGTGTGGCTCCTGTGGTCCACATGACTATCCCTGAGCCCAAAGCTACACTATTTTCACTAATGTCAAGGTAAGCAAAACTTGACATTTGTGGTGCAAGTACTCCACCCTCTTATTCAACATTAACCTAGCTAAAATCTGGGACAACTTAAGTAACAAAATATGTAACGAAAGTAACAGATTATAACCCAGTGAATAAAACAAGGATCATGAGGCCACACTGATAGGATGGACACGTGACTAAATAAACGAACAGGAACAGTGCAGACAAGCAGACACAGGAGTGCCAAGGCCAGAGCCATCAGTGATGATGACACTGTGTGTGAAAGTCTGATAAGAAACATGGCATTTACATGGCTCACAGCCTCTCCACACAAAAAAATGACAGTCTGAACTGAGACTGAAGAATGGTGTGCTAATAAGAACTTTCCTGGTTTTTGTTGTGTTATTCTCAAATAGTTAAGAAAAAGAAAAACATGACACAAACGTGATAAAATGTAACGACGGGAAAATCTGGGTAAAAAGTGTGCAGGAAATTTCTTGAACATTCTACTGTAAATTTAATTAATGTGTGTGTGTATGTGTGTTTTGGGGGGGTTTTGAGTTAGAGTTTTGCTCTGTCGCTCAGGCTGGAGTACACTGGTATGCTCAGTTACTGCAGCCTCACTCTGCTGGGTTCAGGCAATCCTCCCACCTCAGTCTCCCAAGTAACTGGGACTACAGGCACATACCACCACGCCTGGCTAATTTTTTAATTTTTTGTAGAGATGAGGTCACCAAATTGCCCAGGCTAGTCTCGAACCCCTGGGATCAGGTAGTCCTTTTGCCTTGGTCTCCCAAAGTGCTGGGATTATAGGTGTGAGCCACCGCGTCCAGCTCTACTGTAAATTTAAATTTTACCTTTTGGCCCTTAGTCATCCACAAATTTTTGTATTGCCTTATCAATTTCTGTGGAAACAAAAGTATTTACTGGACTGTCAACAAATATACAAAACAAGCTGGAGAAACCACAGTTCTTAAGATACTAATCCTTGGCATCTAAGAATGTTGTTTAAGTCTTACCCACATACTACAGAAAAGTTTATGGTTTTATTCTGACATCTTTTTTAACGCCTTTTACACGTATGTTTTTACACTTTTTCTTCCATCTTTTTTATCCCCCAGTACTTTACAGTTCTCACTGTGCCATAACAGGATATTCATAATGAGCTGACACTGGTGTATAGGGCAGGGGGACAGGTCATGACCATGGTGCCTCCTCCTGGTCAGACCCTGTCCTCAGGACACAAGGGCACTGGCTCCTGGTCTTCCCTCAGGCCACATCTGCAGCGGGGCAGGGTCAACAGTACTATCAGGTTGGAGCAGGTCGCCAATGGGCCAAGCACTTCCATCATGAGTAACTGGAGTCTTTCATAAATGCCTCTCTGCACCTAGACAGTCACCAGCACACTGCTTGACTGGGCAATTCTTGTTTCCTAACATTTCTTTTTTTTGAGTTGGAGTCTCACTCTGTCACCCAGACTGGAGTGCAGTGGCCGCTGCCGGCCACCGCAGCCTCGACCTGCTGGGCTCCGGCGATGCTTCTGCCTCAGCCTTCCAAGTAGCCGGAACTACAGGCGCACGCTACCACACCCAACTAATTTTTTCATTTATTGTAGAGATGAGGTCTCGCCAAGTTGCCCAGGCGGGTCTCGAATCTGTGGGCTCAGGCAATCCACTCACCTCAGCCTGCCAAAGTGCTGGGATTACAGGCTGAGCCACCGAGCCCGGCTTTTCCTAACATTTCACGTAGGATTTTCTATCTATAAGAGGGGACCCCAAAATCCCCAGGATTACCTTTCGGGTGGACCCCTTGTAATACAGGTAAGCGTACTAGGAACCCACTGGCATCAGTGCACTAGCCAGCATTGTTGTGAGAGGCTACATTCTGCTTCAGTGAATTTTTTTTTTTTTTTGTAGTTTCTTTCAATGCATTTGCCCATTTCATGATGGGTGGTTTATGAGCACGCCTGCCCACACCGTGCTGAGTGTTCAGCAGTTCTTTACCAAAAATGGCATGGCCCCCATGCTCCACCCTCCCCATTCACCAGATCTCTCCCTGAGCAACTTTGTTTGTTTCCTGGGATGAAAAAAAGTCCTCAAAGGGACACGCTCTGCTGATGTGGAAGAGGTGAAACAAAAAACAACTAAAGCACTAAAAGACATCAAAATGGATAAGTCCAAAAACTGTTCTGAGCAGTGGGAAAAGCGTCTTGATAGGTATGCTGCATCAAGCAAAAAGTATTTTGAAGGTGCCTGAAGTGCGAACACGTAAGAATATACAATTTTTTATAAATAAATTCTGGGTTGTTTTGGATTCCCCCCCCCCCATATATTAATCAGGAATGCCAGTCTATTATTTTCCTCTCATAGTCTACGCTTGATCTGCTCTTACAAAAGGTTAACAGGACTTCGTCTCTTCCTGCTGTCTGGGACCACTTAGTAATACAATAACCGTGGATTCCTTGAAAGTGTGAAGCCCCCAGGAAAGAGTCCTTCCAGGTGGCATGTTTCTGATTAGAATCCATCACCTTGTAGTTATGGTCCACTTAGGTTCCCACCTCTTCTGGTTCAAAAGAAAACTGTCCATTTCACCTAATGTTTCAAATGTACATGGCACACAAGCATTGTCAGCATCTTCCTTATTTTGGTATCTACTAGATGTGCGTTCATATCCTATTTACTTGCTACATTCTTTATTTTTGTCCTCTTTTCTTGATCAATCTTTTCTAAGGATTATCTATTCTATTAATCCTATAAAACAAGAAGCTTTTGGTTCTACACATTTTTTCCCTAAAGCTTTTTAAATGTTCCTATTTTATTGATTTTTGCTATTGAATTTACCTAC